GCTATATTTTTTCGCTTCTCCTTTCAGAATACATATATATGTATTAGAATACGTGATTGGGGTCTGTGTAATCAGGTTAGTTGTTTGTGCTCAGGACATGACACGTTGACACGTGGGAGATGGTCGTCAGTCGGTGGCGTGAAAAGTGGGTCTCTGTGTTACTTTTATTGCACCCCCCGTGTCTGCCTGTCTATCACTCCATCATAAATATTTAAATATATTAGCCATTTTCCTTTCTCTCTCCCTCTTTTTATGCCCCATTTGTAATGAAAGGCAAAGAAATTATACACATGAAATAAACTTAAGAGATTTTGAAGGATTGTGGATGGCAGTTTTCAATTTATATTTATGAATATTTTTAGTGCTCATACATGTTCAAATGGAAAAAAAACCCAAACAAACAAGATACGTTTGTGAAACGTTAAGGGCAATAGTTTTTAGGTCACCTGAGTAAACTCAGGTGACCTATTGCTATCCGTTTTCGTCCGTCGTCGTGCGTCGTTCGTCGTTCGTCGTGCGTCGTGTGTTAACATTTGAACATTTTCAGCTTCTTCTCTGCAACCACTCAACCAATTTCCACCAAATTTTACACAAAGCATCTATGGGTGAAGGGGAACAAAAATTGTGAATTTCATGGTCCCTGCCCCCCTGGGACCTGTGGGGTGGGGCCAAAACCACTAAAATTAGTGCAATCTTTAAAAATCTTCTTCTTTACTCCTGGACATCAAGCAGTCAAACTGTTAGCATGAATGTAATGACCATTGAGTCCTCTACCAAAATTGTGAAATTTATGGCCCCAGGGTCAGGGGTTCTGGTGTTAGGGTGGGGCTCTATTGATTATATAGAGAAAATGCAGAAATTGTTTGAAAATCTTCTTCTCTGCTGCTTGGTATTCAGCGAATTAACTAAGTAAATAGTTGTGATGAGGAAGAATGCCTCTTCCAAAATTGTGAATTATATGGCTCCAGGGTCAGGGGTTCCGGTGTTAGGGTGGGGCTCTATTGATTATATAGTAAAAAAGCATTATTTCTTTAAAAATCTTCTTCTCTGCTCCTGGGTATTAAATAAACTATCTAAAGACATAATTATGATGAGAAAGAATGCCTTTTGTAAAATTGTGAATTTCAGGGCCCCAGGGTCAGGGGTTCCGGTGTTAGGGTGGGGCTCTATTGATTATATAGAGAAAATGCAGAAATTGTTTGAAAATCTTCTTCTCTGCTGCTTGGTATTCAACGAATTAACTAAATTTATAGTTATGATGAGCAAGAATGCTTCTTCCAAAATCGTGAATTATATGGCCCCAGGGTCAGGGGTTCCGGTGTTAGGGTGGGGCTCTATTGATTATATAGTGAAAGTACATTAATTCTTTGAAAATCTCCTTCTCTACTCCTGAGTATTAAATAAATTAACAAAAGATATAGTTATGATGAAGAATGTCTCTTCCAAAATTGTGAATTTTTATGGCCCCAGGGTCAGGGGTTCTGGTGTTAGGGTGGGACTCTATTGGGCATATAGTGAAAGTACATTAATTCTTTGAAAATCTTCTTCTCTACTCCTGGGTATTAAATAAATTAACAAAGTATATAGTTATGATGAGGAAGAATGCCTCTTCCAAAATTGTGAATTTATATGGCCCCAGGGTCAAATGGTGTTAGGGTGGGGCTCTATTGATTATATAGAGAAAATACATTATTTCTTTTAAATTTTCTTCTCTGTTCCTGGGTATTAAATAAACTCAATATATATAGTCATGATGAGGAAGAATGCCTTTGTGAATTTTATGGCCCCAGGGTCAGGTAATCTATTGTTAGGGTTGTTATGTGGTATATAGAGAAAATGCAAAAATTGTTTGAAAACTTCTTCTCTGCTCCTGGGGATTAAGCAGATGAACTACCTATACAGCTATGATGAGCAAGGGCCATTCTTCCTGAATTGTGAATTTCCACACCCCTGTGTCAGGGGTACCATCACTCCATCATAACTGAAAATGAAATATATTGAAACCATTCTACTTTCTCTTAATCAAATATTTTTGATAAGCAAGGGTGCCTTTTCCAAAATTGTGAAATGTGTGGACCAAGGGTATGGAAATGGCACTATATTGATTATTGCTGAATAAACTGATTAAAATGCATTTTGAAGGATTGTGGATGGCAGTTTTAACCAAACTAAACATGCTATATTTATGATGTCTTTTTCAAAATTGTGAATGCCATGGTGTCTAGTTTAAAACATGAACCAATGTCAATCATTGTAAAGTTGTTGCATGATGCTCAGGTGACCTATAAGGCCCATGGGCCTCTTGTTTTTTAAGTGATTCAAACTCTGTGGTCAATGCCAAAGGGTAAAATTAATCGTCCCTCGGGGAAGGTCTTATTAAAGAAATATATATGCCTACTATGAAAGTCCAAATTTTAACTTTCAAAATTTGTGAGCAAGATTTAAAGTTTTTTCCCAAAGTAGGTCAAACGTCAAGATCAAAGGGTAAATGTGTTGGTACCCATAGAAACGTCTTATCACACATGTGAAATACGAAACTCATAGCTTCACCCAATCAAAAGCCAGGGACAATGTTTAAGCTTTTGCAGACAAACAAACAGATAGACGGATAGACAGGGAAATAACTATACAACCCCGAATCCTCGATTATGGAGGTATTTGTTTCTAGTAAATGATGGCCTAGTGTTCCGTAAACTGACTATTTCAACATGTTAAATGTGCTTTGCATTAAAAATATGTGGATAGTTACGGCATTCAGAACACCATGATGGGATGTTCAATATCAACATGCTTGATATTTTGTTCCTGTATCGCTGTATTGGAGGATGTTATTTTCGGTTTGTCCGTCCGTCTGTGTTTCTGTCTGTTAGTAACACGTTCGTTTCCGCAAAATTTAAAGAATCTCTTGAGCTTTTGCAATAAAATTTCACATAACAAACCCTTATAGCATAAAAAGACTCCTATATATGTTGAGGTTAAAAGGTCAAAGGTTCAGATAATAAATTCAACAATATCCCCATTGACTTTGAGGCAAAAGGTAAAGGTCGTAAATTTATACATTGAACTTTAATCAGTGGTATAGGAGGAGTTGTGGATAAGAGAGACAGACGTACGGAAGGACGTCCATCCGTCCGTTACGCTTTGGGGTACCCATCTCTTATCCTCAACTCCTCTTACCTTATACCACTGAATGATATTTAATGAGACTTTCAAAGAACCTTTTTTTTACATAGTGCCATCTTTACGTGTAAAACAATGGACTTTGCCATTATAATCACATCGGAGGCGGGGTGGGTGTTGGGGGTACATGTATCAACTTATGAGCTCAGTGCTCAAAGTACCTTTAGTTTTCTTCTGGGGGCACATGAACAAGCAAAATGACTTTGCTGTGAAAAAAAATCTCCAAGGTTATATGAAAGATGTATTATATTATTCACATCAAAGAGGAAAAAAGAATACGTACATGTAGGTATTCATTTAATCAGGGATATTTGGAGTCTCGAAGAGCAGTTACGTGGACTTAACGCCTACAGTTTTCTAAGACTAGGTCTACATGTATGTCTACATATATACACGTATATTGCGTTGGTGCAAGTAGGTCAATAATTACATAAATGTTATTTGTTTGTGAAATTCAAAATAAGTCCCTTATTGGCTCAATGCCAAGTTATCATTTTTCAAATATATCCGGTAAGTCAAACTCCAATGTCAAGATTCAAAAATGGTGGTATTCAAAGAAAAGTCTTATCACAAGGAATACTCGTGTGATATGAAAGCTATATATGCGCCACCCGTTCAAAATTATGCTCAATGTTAAAGTTTTTTTTTCAAAAGAAGGTCAATATCCGACGACGTCAAGAGATCAAATATGTTACCCAAAGAGTTTATCACAAGGAATAAGTCCGAATAACACATGTAGACGAACCACCCTATAGTTATGGGCAAGGTTCATGTTTTGCGTCCAAACGGACAGATTAACAGACGGACGTATACAGACCAAAAACTATATATATGCCAAACATAATGAAGCAATGAGAAATATTTGTTATAAAAATAAGGATAGCAGGATAGTTATAAGCATATGAAACTATATGCCAAACATATTTGATAACGAGGGCATATACTATAATGGTGTCGATAGGCAGTAAACAAAACAACCATTCTGAGTGAGTATTGCATAAGCTCATTAGCAGTATTGACAATGACGTTAAAAATCATGAAAATTAAACAAGACACCGATGTCCACATGTGGCAGCTGATGGCGAAGGTTAACAGTGGGTCAAACTGTTAAAGGTTAAAGAATGCAAATGATCAAGCGGCAGTGTCAAAAGATAATAAATGTTAATCAGGGAGGGTCTTGTCACAAGGATTACACATGTGAAATATCACTATTAAAACATCAAAAATAATGGTCAAAGTTAACCCCCCTCCCAAAAAAATAAATGGGTAAAATAAATGTCAATCTCAGCATGCTCAGCGACACAGAAGGACAGAGATGTTAATACTTAAAATGATATTTTGTCAAAAGAAATATATCTGTGAAATATGAAAGCCCGAAGACAAACCGTTCAAAAGAAATGGCCACGGTTAAAGTTCAAACTCTATCATGTTTAAGATCAAAGGTTAAAAAATATTTGTATCTGAGGAAAGGACGTATCACAGAAAATAAAGAAGTATATATGAAAGCCCTACCACTGTTATGGCCAAAGTAAAGGCTTAGTAAAATACCTGGTATGAAAAATTAGCTCAATATATGTGAACATCCAAAAGAAATTAAAGGGTTTTGCAACCTTCCCCACCCTCTCCCCCTCCAGAGTCTGGGTTTAAGTGGGTTTGAAGTGAGATCGACTTACTTCCGAGACAGAGGAAGAAAAGTGAGCCTAAGAAAATGAAATCTGTAGCAAAAGAACGACAACGAACATAGATCAGGAATGCAATTAGACCGAAAAGACATACACGGTGCGAAATGCAATAGCCACGATGAAAGTCAGACCACACACAAAAAAATGGCGACGGATAAGTATCTGACATGAATGTGATCATGATGTTTCCCAGTGATTTTGCAAGAAAGTTACAGAATGGATAACTGATGATGCTTTATCACTATGATGGAACTCTTTGACTCAATGAAATGAATTACGGGAAGCGGATAAAGCTCATGCTTCCAAGCCGAAGCGAAAGGTTAGAGAAATTCGTGTCACAGAACTTGACACTTTTGACAGTGATGTTGTTAGTGGTACAGTACCACGGTAATCTAAAAAATCATTGGTTATATTTGAGAGGAAAAATTAATCGGTTAATTGACAAGTTGTATTTTCTGTTTATGGTAATTTGTTTTGCATCAGGTTATTGCATTCTAAAATAATAATACTTCAAACCTTTGTGTACTCATATTTTCTTAACCTCAATATTTTGGCCCAAGAAATTGTTATTTTAAAATTTTAGAAATGATGTAATATTCGTAGGATATCCATGCCCTCTTATTGACACACAAAGAGAGAAATTTAAAAACAAATCTAATGATTAAAGGTGATGAAAGATATTGTCCATGTGTTTAGACTTTAGTTGTATAACGTTACTCCTTATTTTTATTTCCAAATTATGATTGGCTATGGTCTATCGAGACTATCATAAAAAATTTTTTATAAGAAAGCCCTCTCACCAGATACAAATAGCTGCAATTATCTTCATATCAAATAGGAATGGTTGTACTGAACAGGTATGTAAATTTTGTCCATAATTCGGCACAGATGGTGCATTTCTTGATTTTTCAATTTCTGTCCTGTTCTTGGCTAACTTACTATTTAGAGGTTTTAGATCCTAGCATGAGTCTAAGTGACATACAAGCAGGTACAATATTGCCAATGGCAAGATAGCTTGGTTGGGAGAGCAGCATTCAGCAGTCTCGGCTTGAAGACAGGGGGAAATGTAGCGAACGGGAGGATTATTGCCAGATAAAGCAGTTGTATATATTTTTGGGAGGCTTCCCATTTAGGTTGGATTCTTGGTCTGATTCATACTCTGTAAATTTTTAAAGTCGTTTTCAGAACTTCTGGACAGATTTCAGTTAGAAATTAAGATTTGCTCTCTCACAGAAGCCATATACAGATACAATGTATAGGAGAAATACTTTAGATACATGTATATATAATTTTGTCCATTATATCAGGGACATTCAAAATTTGCTTGTACCCAGCACCTTTACCAGACTGAAGTCATGACTGTATAGCAACCAAAATATTCACTGGAGAAGAATTTTATAAGTTAACATATTTGATCAAAAATTCTTCTTAAAGAATTAGGTACCTCCTATTTTTGTAAAAGTACTGCATAATTCTTATCTTTTTGAAAGACCAAATGTCTTTAAATTTTAAAAAGTCTTAGAACCATGGATTATAAACTTTCTGATGTGACAATTATTTTCAAGTTGAATCTTTCAAACCATTTTTAGGAGAATGAGATAAAAGTAATTTTTCAAGTTGATGTACAAACTTTATTGAATTGAGAATTTTTATGTTGTTATTCAGTCTATCCCCTAGCTAGGTCAAAAACAATTATTATAGGACTGCCAGAGTTTTTACATAGTGATTGGAAAGAGATGGGATGTACAGTACTGTAATGGAGCCCAAAACGCTGTTGACCATATCAGTGCTTCTTCATATCACTTTTTTAAAAAGTCCATGTAGAACATGTATATACTTGAGAATTGACCTGCTTTAGAAGCTTTCACCTTTTCGTCCTCCAGAAAATATTGTCTATATGTATATCAGAGGATCCCTAGAAGCATTATCTCTGCCAGTCTTATCCTAATTCAGGTAGTTTTTGTCATCTGGGAATTGACTTGCCCAAAAAATACTATTAGGCCTATAAGGATTATCGAACTTTGTCAGCTGATACTTCTTGGGTAGATGATGTGTCGCGCACAAAAAGTAGGTTGCTCTGACCTTTAGTTAAGATGCTATGACCAAATATGGAAGAATCCTGTCCGACTTATAACTAGAAAAGTACTAGACTTAGAATCATCAAACTTTGTCAATTTATGCATCTTAGAAGGTATGTGGTGACCTATTTTAAGGTCACTGTGACCTTTAATTTAAGTAAAATAAAAGAAACAAACTGTCTTTTTACTATTCAATTACACAATCCCAAAAATGTAAGGATGTTGCAGTATCCTTATTGAAGAATTGTTAAATGAAGAAAATACCTATCCCCCCCCCCCCTTTCGATGAAGGAGGGCATATTGCTTTGCTTCTGTTATGTCGGTCTGTCTGTCGATCCACCATCAGTTTCTGCAGAGGTTGCACATATTGATATGAAATTTGGTATGCAGTTTTATCAATAGAATATCTAGGCCAAGTTTTGTTTTGAGTACGATCGGGCCATTTTGAGCAGAGTTATGCCCCTTGGACTTAGAAAAATTCCAATTATTTGGGGGATGGGGGCATAAGTGTTATACAAATATCTTTTGTTAAAATGAATTTTGCAAGCTCTAACACAACCTGTTGAGGAGCTGTTATGTAATATTTGTTATAATTAATTAATGCCTATACCACATGAGGTGTATAAACAAATACTATAAGAAATGGAAAAATTATGGAAACTTTTGTAAAGGTAGACATGATTTCTTTGCACTCTAAACTGTTTATGATAATAGAACATTTGACGGCGTATCATGCTGTGGCAGGGCTTTTTATTAAATCTGGTTAGATAAACTATATTATATGATACCAAGCTGTCTTCCGTGCACATCCATTCTGACAAGTAACAAAAACCTTAGCCTAAGCTGGTGTGCAATGGTTTTATAATCGAATGTTTATGTACATCACGCTTTACATGTCGATACAATGCCGCTAAATGAAACTGTGTTAAATGCATGTTGAAGTGATGCACAAACATCATAGGCTGTTTCTGTTTCTATTCTTGTCCCACTAGTCAACTTATAAAAGATTAATTTCATTTTTAGAAATAAATTTTAATGTTCAGATGACTTTTAAGGCCTTGTGTTTAAATGCAGAGTTTATAGCTAAAATAATAATCATAATTTTTTGGAAATTAAAACAAAAAATTGTCATTACATTTAATTGCCACATTAATACCACATGAAGAGACAAGTATGTCTCCAAAAATTACCTAGAAATGGATATACAATATTGTTGTTTTTTTTATACTAGTCATCAGAGGTGTACGGTGAATATTGTTTTGGGGAAACCCTTGTCATCATCACCTCTCACTGATCTAAGGTGACAGTCTACTTGTATTTAACTGCTCACTGTCATAACGCTCACTCATAACAGTACATAATGAGGAGACTGGTGTACAGTCATTTGTTGCTGGGATATTATGTGAAAAAGATCCCAACATAAATTTGAAACGATGACAACATATTCTACCTTATTTCCTAGCTGCAGATCTGTAGCATTATGGTTTTGTAATTAATATATTTGTCTTTGACCATAACGATACAGATCCCGTAATGCATAAAAGGTGCAATTTATGGGGCAATATTTTTTGCGCACTTTTGGGAAGAATTTCTCCACTTTCCAGCATCGGTCAATTAACTACATTGTACTTTTCACTCCCTTATTCTAGGCACATTAGGCCATCCTTAAAAAAATGTTTTTTTGCGGTAACGCGACCGACTCACCAAAATCCACCCGACTGGATTTTTCTTATCGGTTCAAAAATCTTCTTTCTTTTTTTTTTTACGTATCCATCTTCCGTTTTTATCCGATTGATATTTTACGTCTCGGTTACACCGACGCTTTATCTTTCCCTCAAGTATTATTAAAACGTCTTTGTGATCTATAAATTTAGAGATGGCGTCCGAGAAGGTTGCGGGAAATATTGACTCTATAGTTCTGTCAGTTACAGTAAATTTTAAAGGAAAATCATCTTAATTCCTAGGCAAAAACAAATATTGTGTGTCAGTTCCACCTTACAGATACATGGTATGATGTTTACGAGATCGCCACAAAATTGGTGGCAGACAAAATTCCACGTGGGATGATTGCGGATTTGCAGCTAATTAATAAACTATCAAAATCTTAAAACCTCGTAAATATCACACCCCCGAAACACTAGATTAGTGTGGAGTCAGTTATTTGAGGTACGTGGCTGATGAGAGTCACTTTCTCAGAAAAAGTTTGCCTAAAAAGAACTGATGTGTTCTAATATTTGAGCAATAAAAGATTGAATTCATTTAGAATGCTTTAATTTTCCTGTTTGATAAGTAAGGTGAAAATTGAGACATACTAGTAGTTAATACCTCTATATCATCGAAATTTATTTCTGACATTTTGTCTCAAAAAAAAAAAAAAAAAAAAAAAAAAGCCTACCTACCTACTCACACCTAAAATGATGAGGCGCGTTACCGCAAAAAATAAATTTTTTAAGGATGGCCTTATTTAAGTAATCTGTATATTTCACCCATCTCCCACAACCCTTTATAGTCGTCTCTACAAAAGATAAACTCACTTGATTAAAATTATTTGTTAGACTTCAAGCGAGTTTATTGCCTGTAGAGACAACTATAAATGGTTGGGAGGTGGATAAAACATATTGGCTACAGAATGTGTCTAGCATTAGGGAGTGAAAGTTAGTTGATGAAGCTAGAAAGTGGAGAAATTCTCCCCAAAAGTGCGCAAAAAATATTGTGCCGTAAAATGGCGTAAATTGCACCTTTTTTGTATTACAGGATCTGTAGCATTTATATGGTCAAAGACAAATATATAATACCATAACGTTACAGATATGCAGCTATCTTATTTCCTTGCATAATCTTGGTGTCAAATCAGATTCAGAAAATTGAAATAAAGAATTTATTTTAGATCTTTCTGAGTATAAATTTACGAGACAATTAATTTAGAAATGAAAATCTTAAATGCTTCTGTATCTGGATCAGATTGCAAGGAATTCTAAAAAAAAAAGACACCGAATACGATTTTGGCTTATTGTTAAGTGAGTAATTTACATTCAGTTTTCTTTGTTTGTAGTGAGCATTCCCTTGGAGATGACTTTGATGAAGATGGAAAAAGTAATAAAAGGTGTGAACATGTACTGTTATTGAGTCCATTTACAAGATGTCAGTTACACACTTAATTATTGTACTCTACCAATACAAAAACTTAGTTGATAGCATGAAATAACTGTCAGCTCATAGCAATTATTATAATATGTGCACACACCAGTAATAAAATCTGACAGAAATGAGGATTTTATGATTGGGAATAAACAATACTATCATGTTGATAAATGGTTATTCAAAAAACCCATTTATTAAATATGATATATGTTATTGTGATCAGCTGAGTAACTGAATTCAGCACATATTGCCAGAAGAATATCTTGGTTGACAATTCTTTGTTTATCACTGCTTCAGACATGATAGAAGTTTTTTATGTTTCCTGTTTAAAACATTATGTCTGGAAAAGTCTGTTGAATGACAAATCAGTTGCTGCCATAATTTAATTAAACCTATTCAGTTAATTCACTTGTGACTTTAAACAGAGAGATAAAGTTTTATTGAAATTCCATTTTCTTAAACATTTCTGTACTTCACCATTTTATTAACACGTTTCTTTTCAAGTCAAGTCAAGTAAATTTTATTTATAGTCGGCACATATATACAGTACAACAAAAATAACATGAGCTGTGGTAAGCTCTTTAACCGACTTGTTTGCATCATGTGAGACTAGATAGTGGAGACCAGTATTTCTTCTAGTTCTTTTATGACTTTCTGTGCTCTACTCAGAATGTTGAGATTATAATTAAGATTTAATTGATGAATAATTTCATTTCTATATAAAAGAGTATAAATGAAAATATAGTACCCCATACCAACTAATGATGATTAAGTTTCCAAGCTTAGAAATTTAGTATAGTATATGTGATATAAGATAAGAGGTTTTTAATGTTATTTATAGCCTATATATTGACGTAAACCTGATGTATTGTACAAATTAACACTAGCTCCTCAGTGTTGGTAGCAATCAATTTGTGATGTCACATATCTTTGAATTAATTGTATTTGTAGGTTAATCTCGATTGCTTGAACTTTCTAGCATAATGCATAAGCAAGGTGATAGCTCTACTGGTCAGAGACCAGAAGAGTTTATGCAATAGTAAGGTGTCCATCGTCTGTCTGTCTGTCTAGCTATCTGTCTGCCCATCTCTCGCTAAACCATTTTTCAAAACACTACTCCTCCTACATTTTGGTCTGACTTCAGTTTAACTTCATGCACAGTAGACCACACCAAAGATACATAATTCCATACATTAATTTTTGATTTCGATGAAGTGTTGCCATGGTTACTATAAATACACATTTATGTGAAATACATTGAAAATGCTACTCCTCCTACAGCTTTGGTCTGATTTCAGTATATCTTCACTTGGACTCAAGTTATATCTACACTGAGATTTAATTTTGATGAAAGATGTTGCCATGGTTACTAAAAATAGAAATTTCTTTGAAAAACTTTTAAAATGCTACCCCTCCCACAATTTAGGTCTGATTTCAAATAACTTGACACAAAAGTAGACTACATACACTGTATGTATTGGTTTTTGATTTTAATAAATGATGTTTTCATGGTAACCCTAATGGAAAACTCTGTAAAATTCTGTTGAAAGGCTACTCCTACAGTTTTAGTCTGATTGCAATCTTGCCACAAAAGAGGGTAAATCAGAGATCATTATTCTATTTTAAGCAATTACAAAGCCCTAGTGCTACAGTCTTTTCTCCCTTTATTATAAGTACGTGTACAAACCAGTAGAGCTATAATCTCTACAGAGACTTCTGTGTTTGTTCCTCAGCTCTCTTAAAAAAAAAATCTTAATACATGTATATAAATTTGGCTGCATTTGATTCCCATAATTTTAAAAAATGCAGTTAAACCTTGTTATCTCAAACTCAATGGGCCCGAGAAAAAACTTCAAGATATCTGAGGATTCCAGATATCTGAGGAAAAATACTTAAAGAAAAAGGGGTTGGGTTTTTCAAATCACTTTGACATATCCATGCATGGTATTCGAGATATCAGAGTTCGAAATACCGAAATTCAAGTAATTACTGAAAAAGTTTTCTTAAAAATAAAAATGTCGGAAATAAAATTAAAAATTGTCAGAAATGCAATGCAAAATATGGGGAATGAATTCAGCAATAACTTTGCTCGTTTTGGCCTGCTATATAAGGCAAATATGTTTCTATTAATGCAAAACTATGTCCTCTATCCGAACAGGGACAGCAAATTTAAAAGTGTGTCATGAGCATGATGAGTTAAAAGTATGAAGTACAGGTACATGATTTTTTTTATAGTTATTAATAATTGAATTGTTTATTTCTTTAGTTTTTACTCAGAGGATGGCAAAGGAGGGGGCAACAACAAAGATATTACTGACAGGTAGGGCTTCTTAGCGTTTCCTTCATCCTTAGTTTTGTCTGAATACCACCAATTGCATCTTGATATAAATTACCTATATCTTTAATTATGAAAAGAGGCTTACATAGTGTCTTCAATTTAAGGGTGAATCGGAATCTAAGTGAGAAGAAACGCAGAGACCAGTTTAACATGCTCGTCAACGAACTTTGCTCAATGGTTTCCACATCCAGCAAAAAGATGGATAAATCCACAGTCCTAAAGTCAACCATAGCATACCTCAAAACTTACCAAGGTAAAAATACTTCAGAAGCAGCAAAGCATACCTAAAAACTTATGGTAAAAATATGGAATAAATCAAATTTTATCTTAAATGGAGACGATAGTAAGTAAAATGGAAGTCTAATTCTACAACCACTGACATCTAAACAAATCAAGACATATTACTAAGGAGTAATGTGAGGGCTCAGGCTCACTTTTAGGAAACGGTGATCATGTCACAATGTCACATGAATGTTGTATTGGTGCCTGCTTTGTACAGCCACACGACTTTTGTATTGAAACCTGCTTTGTTCAGTCACACAACTTTATATTGGCACCTGCTTTATTCAGTCACATGACTTTTATATTGGCACCTGCTTTGTTCAGTCACACAAATTTTGTATTGGCACCTGCTTTGTTCAGTCACACAACTTTTGTATTGAAACCTGCTTTGTTCAGTCACAGAACTTTTATATTGGCATCTGCTTTGTACAGTCACATGACTTTTGTATTGGCACCTGCTTTGTTCAGTCACACAACTTTTGTATTGGCATCTGCTTTGTACAGTCACACAACTTTTGTATTGAAACCTGCTTTGTTCAGTCACAGAACTTTTATATTGGCACCTGCTTTGTTCAGTCACATGACTTTTGTATTGGCACCTGCTTTGTTCAGTCACACAACTTTATATTGCCACCTGCTTTGTTCAGTCACACAACTTTTGTATCAGCACCCGCTTTGTTCAGACACATGACTTTTGTATTGGCACCTGCTTTGTACAGTCACACAACTTTTGTATTGAAACCTGCTTTGTTCAGTCACACAACTTTTGTATTGAAACCTGCTTTGTTCAGTCACAGAACTTTTATATTGGCATCTGCTTTGTACAGTCACATGACTTTTGTATTGGCACCTGCTTTGTTCAGTCACACAACTTTTGTATTGGCATCTGCTTTGTACAGTCACACAACTTTTGTATTGAAACCTGCTTTGTTCAGTCACAGAACTTTTATATTGGCACCTGCTTTGTTCAGTCACATGACTTTTGTATTGGCACCTGCTTTGTTCAGTCACACAACTTTATATTGCCACCTGCTTTGTTCAGTCACACAACTTTTGTATCAGCACCCGCTTTATTCAGACACATGACTTTTGTATTGGCACCTGCTTTGTTCAGACGTTTGTATTGGCGCCTGCTTTGTTCAGTCACACAACTTTTGTATTGAAACCTGCTTTGTTCAGTCACACAACTTTTGTATCAGCACCCGCTTTGTTCAGTCACATGACTTTTGTATTGGCATCTGCTTTGTTCAGTCACATGACTTTTGTATTTGCATCTGCTTTGTTCAGTCACACAACTTTTGTATTGGCATCTGCTTTGTTCAGTCACACAACTTTATATTGCCACCTGCTTTGTTCAGTCACACAACTTTTGTATAGGCACCCGCTTTGTTCAGACACACGACTTTTGTATAGGCACCTGCTTTGTTCAGACTTTTGTATTGGCACCTGCTTTGTTCAGTCACACAACTTTTGTATTGACACCTGCTTTGTTCAGTCACACAACTTTTGTATTGGCACCCGCTTTGTTCAGTCACATGACTTTTGTATTGGCACCCGCTTTGTTCAGTCCCATAACTTTTGTATTGACACCTGCTTTGTTCAGTCACACAACTTTTGTATTGGCACCTGCTTTGTTCAGTATGTATATGTTGACAATTAAAGACTGCGGATGTCCTAACTTTTGTGTCAGTGACTTGGATTGACAATGTTAAATAACTCAGATTACTTGTTCATCTTAAGCCATTGTGAATGCTGATCAGGGTATGATGGACTACTGTAAGAACACCAGTTATTACCCAGAATCCTCAGCATTCTATTGATCTCTTCTTAGTATAAATCATCTCCTACCAATAATTGGTGTCTCTCACCAGTTCACAGTTCTGTCAACCTTATTCTGATTTACTGCTTTTTTGACTTTAATTGAAAAGCCTATTATTTTTATTTTGTTTTATAAGTATCTTCAGCACTTTTTTTCAGAACAGATTAAAAAAATTAGTCTTTTAGAATATTTAATTTTTATTATGATCAATGAATAGTAAATACCTTTTTGTGTATACAGTAAAACTCGTTTAGTATGAACACGGATATTGCGAATTCACGGATATAGCGAAGTCATCTTGGATTCCCAGCTATATAAATATAATGAATTTCTTATACGGTTATAACGAATTATGGATATAGTGAAGTAATTTCATAGGTCCCAGCGATTTTGTTATAACCAAGTTTTGCTGTATAAAGATTTATTCCTTCCAGTTAGTTTCTACCAGTCAAAAACAGAGAATTTACATTTCTATCTATAACAGACTTAATTCATTTTAATTTTATACCTGACACCTCATTAAAAGACAGTTTTTTAGTAAGCAATTTCAGTACATGTATTGGGTGATATAGGTACTACAGCATGCATTGTGGCCCATGGGCCTCTTGTTTTACTGAACTATAAATATTTTATTCAATATAATACATTGAAGAAAATCTAGGAGCATGCTTTTCATTTGAGCCCAATCAGGCCAATCTATAAAGTAGTTTCATTTTACATAGCTCACCCACACAAAATGATCGAAATATTTAGTGACGTGAGAAATATTCATATGATCAGCAAAAAATTTTACTTGTTAAAAACCATTAATAAAAAAACCCCTGATCTTTGTAAAAGAATTTCATAAGAGAAGGTGTGATACATACCTTCAAAAATTTTATCATTTTATAGACAGAATATGGAAATGAAATAGTGGGTAGCATTTGTCTGCTAGTAGATAAACAATTTGTAACTAGATTATGTTGAGTGTCTGATAAAAATGCTAAGAAATATTGAGAGTTAGCTGCAGTGATTTGTATTCACTAATATAAGATTTATTCCTTATTATACCCCCAGCCTGAAAAGTGGGAGATGTATAGTGATGGAGGTGTCCATATTTCCAAACAATGTTCCATATATCTTTCTGTATATGTGAAATACTTGAGGGTACTGTATAGGGGATTAATTTCACGGGTTGTAATTTTCACGTTTTCTCCTCATCTGACACGATCGCGGTTTCTTGAATTCGCGGAATTGGTACATGTATATTATTAAAATAATATCCCTTGTCTTTATTCCATAAACAACAGGGTCTAGGTTTATATAAATAATTAAATTCAATAAATAATTGACGATTTATTAAAACAAGTGCAGTTATCAAAAATCTTGACTATAAACGTCGAATGACTTTCCTATATGCTAGCTATTACGATAAGTGGATACAGATTTTCAGAACGCGGCGAAAAACCACCGGACGGTAATAAATATGTTCATGCATGTCGACAAAATAGTATCCTTCCACATATTCAGTTAGTTCCATATAGTTATTTGAATGTTTTTTTAAAACCAAAAATGTCGATAAAAACTAATAATATGCATGATAATGCAGGTAACAATTACACGCGATAACATTAGTTACGCACGGGTAATCAAAACCCACGGCCCGCGTGTTTTGATTGATGAAACATCTAGCGTTGGCTATTAAAACAGCTTTTTAACAAAAACAGGTTATTATCTGCCTGTTTGAATTAAAGCAAAGCGTGATAATTAAAATAACTGAATGACAAGTACTACTCGTAATTACTGAAATGATCATGTACAGCACGAACATGTATAGAAGCCTATGTTATCGTAGTTTATTCTCAAATTTCCAAATAAATCATGGATATAATTGAAAATTTATTCACTGTTTCTTGAATTCACGGATTTATTAACACCGTGAATATAGCGAATATTAACACCGCGAGTTATTTTCCCCCTATACAGTACCTATCTTTCATCTGCAATTCCTCCTAAACCACAAGCTAAAATTTGTTGAGACTTAACATTTAATATTTATTATTATCATATACTTAGTAGTAAATACACCGATTCTGCACGGTGTGATACGGGTGACGTCACAATACCCCATATCACGGCCCGGTCCGAAAATCCATATCACGTATCGGACCGGCGGGCCGAAAATCCATATCAAACCGGAAGTAACGCTTGTATTAAGTTCAAACGTTAATTTACTAGATTTTACTTAAATATTCATGTAAAATATTTCTTTAATGACATCTGTGGTCTTATTTTTTTCCAGTTACCGAAAATTGGCTCTTTTAGATTTTAAACAAAAATGTCATAAACAAGCACGAAACATTCTTCAATGACAATACATGAACTCGCACATTAAGTATTTTAAATATATGATAAATAGAATACTACATACTAAAATCCATATCATATGTCACATCAGCCCTCGGGCCCCATATCAGCCCTCGGGCCTTCGGCCCTCGGGCTGATATGGGGCCACTCGGGCTGATATGACATATGATATGGATTTTAGTATGTAATATTCTCTATTGAAATCACTAATTTCGTTTGGGTTAATTTTCGTGGTTTTCAAGGTATGAAGAGACCAATAAATTTATGTCCACCATGAAATGCAATTTTTCACATATATTACTACTGAACAATTCTTCAACCACGAAATCAAATCCCCATATTTTCCTCAAATCGCAAAAATTTGACCCCTGGAAAATATGTGATTTTACAGTAGTACATAATGCTATTGTGACCTTTCATCTTGTAATATGAGGATCCCCATCTTTTATCCACAACTCTTCTTATACCATTGAATAAAATTCAATACCTGTATGACTTTGAATCCTTTTTACAAAGTGCCATTCTTTGTCTCTTTTTTTATGCTCTGGTTGCAAATATTTGAGGTTTCTAAAGCTCTGGACTTTGCCATTATACATACATGGGATTAGTAGTTATCATTTTTGGAGCTCATGGTCACATTTCCTTCGGTTTTCAATGAGGGATTTTTCCCATTTTCTCTTCACAAAAAGTAGTTTTGTAAGCATTAAAGTAGGAGAATTTAATGATGCTGAACTAAAGAATGAGGGTGCGAGACAGTCCCCTTCCTATGACCCCATGATACCATGTTTCTGCTTGCAGTTAATGTTATATCAATATATGTCCATGAATTGCAACTTAAAGACATATTAATAATTTTTTAGAGACAGCAGTTCAGGCCCAGGCCCATGAAATCAAGGAAGACTGGAAGCCATCGTTTCTGTCCAATGATGAGTTCATGCATCTCATGCTAGAGGTTTGTGCTTTACAGATATCTTTGTACCCACTTTTATTTTCTTCTGCGATATGTCAGAACTATTTTTTTGTATCCAGATACAACCCTCTCCCCTCCTTGATCCTCTCAAATGTTACACGTTAGCCAGTGAATGTCTGCATATTTGTGAAAAAGTACTAACAACTGTTGTTAACTGCATACAATGTAGCATTTGTGAAATATAACAAAATGTATTTTACTGATATATTCTTTATTCTTTTTAGGCATTGGATAGTTTTTTACTGGTTTTTACTCAACAAGGCAATATACTGTATGTATCGGAGAGTGTGACTTCCCTACTGGGACATCTACCTGTAAGTACTGATAGACACGGTGTCTGAATCCAGAACACACAGCTTTTACAGTGATGATGAAGAAATCTAAAATTCCTCCTTAATTAGATATGTGATTCGAGTCACTGTATGCAAAATGCGAATGGGGGATGTTAGTTAATTCTGTACGTTTGGCTTACTGACTTTAGTAATTACATGTAGATCACATTATAATATATTGTATGAGTGCATATAAAATGTAAGGAATTTTATTTTTGAAGTTTGACAATTTGAAAGATATTTCTGTGACAGGCGGACCTCACTAATCAGTCGGTATACAGCTTTATACACGAGAACGAAAAACAAAACCTCTACAACATCCTGTTTCACTACAGCATGCTTTCTCCAGAGGAACGGGCCAAAGGTAGGAATTTTCTGACAAGAAATACATGTGTGTCCTTGTTGTACAGTAGTTACCCCTAGTGTTGTACCGATAATTGGAAAACATCGATTGTCGAAAAAAAATGCTACCGATTCCAATGATCAATTATAATTTTTCATAATCGATCATCGGAAACATACTATAACTAGTGCTAATTGTAACGGGGACCGTTACAGATGTTCCCCAAACGCTCCCCAACTCCCTTTTGTGCCTAATTCCTGTAAGACATTTTTAAAATATGATCAGTATCGACGGATTTCATCAAAGAATTATAAAAGCTACAATGATCTCAACTATATGTCATTTAATGCATTGTACGCGCAAGCACGTGCATACACATGCAAGATGATCATGGCATGTTGTCTAAACCATGAACATATCTATATTTTGTAAGAATCAATAAAAAAAATGTTTAAGATATACATGCTACTGTTTCTTAAGTATATTGGTCATTTTGCGTATTTTGCGCGCGCACGTGCATGCATGCATGTTCGTGCATTCAATTTTGATAGTACCATAATGTAGGAATCAATTATACCTAATCATACTCTAAATTTCATCCCGTTTTGTTGAAAACTAAGAAAGCTATAGGCATTCAAAGTTTCAGCCAATCAGATTGCAACACACATGCATGCGCATGCTTTCATGCTAATTCTTATATATCATGCTGTAGATCTTCATAATGTATAAGCATGTTGAAAATTTCAAAGAATTCTGTTGAAAAACTAGAAAGATGTTAAGACTTTAGTTTCAACAAATCAGAGAGAAGCGCATGTGCATGCGCGTGAAATCTTGCTATTTTGACCATGTCATCTTGTCTATGCTTCTAATATATCCTTATATTATGAGTTTCAAAGCATTTCATAAAAAAAATTATAAAGTTACGTCTATATCAATTATATTGGACATTTCTTGTGTTGCACGTGCGCGCTCTTGGAAGCACACGTGCATGCACATGCTTTCATGATAATTCTTATATATCAGGCTGTAGATCTCCCTAATGTATGACTAAGTTCAAAATTTCAGAGTATTCTGTCGAAAAACAAGAAAGATATGGAGACTTTAGTTTCAGCCAATCAGAGCGAAGCGCACGTGCATGCGCGTGAGATCTTGCGTTTTTGACCATGTCATCTTGTCTTTACTACTTATATATCCTTATATTATGGGTTTCAAAACATTTCATCAAAAAATAGAAAAGTTACGGCTGTATCCATTATATTAGTCATTTCACGTGTTGCACGTGCGCGCTCTTGCAAGCACGTGCGCGCAAAATGACCTTCATTCCGCAAATCTACATAACATGCCTAGTGACCCTAAAAAGGTTTCACCTTGATCAAATGTGTAGTTTACGAGATCATTCGCGGAAAAGATTTTCCCAGGAAGAAGAAAAATAATAATAATAATAATAAGAAGAAGAAACAGAGTAAAAACAATATGTTCCCCAACTTCGTTTGGGGAACATAATTATCTATTTCTAGTTTAAAATTTATTTATTCTTAATGAAAGAAAATTGGCATGTGCTTCTTATACTTGCCAACTAGCATGAAACAAAGGTGCTTAGGAACCACGAGTAAATTTTGGTGTAGGCGGCTCATAAAATTTATAACTTGTTCGCCTAAGTGGCGAATTAAAAATCTGCAGGACCATTCCAGCCCCCTTACTGAAAACAGACGCTTTCCCCGTGTTTTTGCTTTAAAACTTCCAATCAATTAAATAGATAAAAGTAACATGGTCTTATTGTTCGTAAGTACCCTTCATCTAATCCATTTACCAGTACTACATGATTTGTGAAATCTTTAAAACGGTCATCTTTTTTTTTCTAATCCGAATTTCCTCCATTCCTATGTGTATCGGTTATACGTGTTAGATATCCAAATTATTTCCAATTACTCAGTCTTATGAAATGGAAGTGTTATTAGGCTTCTACTTATTCCAGATAAGTTTCAAAAATATTTAAACTAAAAAATAAATTCTTATTCATGTGATGGTGTCATCCGTTATCTACTAATATATAGTCCAATGACTAGCAAAATGGGATTAAGTATATAATCTTTCAAAAAAGGATAGTAAAATTGTTAATTTAATTCAATTTCATTTCCTATGATGAAATATTTATGCGAAATTTATTTTACAAAGTAATTTGGACTTCAATTTTCATTTTAAACAAATGCACAAGTGTATATATTTTTTAGCTCACCTGAGCCGAAGGCTCAAGTGAGCTTTTCTGATCAAAATTTGTCCGTTGTCTGTCGTTGTCGTCGTCGTTGTCGTTGTCGTTGTTGTCGTCGTAAACTTTTCACATTTTCATCTTCTTCTCAAGAACCACTGGGCCAATTTCAACCAAACTTGGTACAAAGTATCCTTGGGTGAAGGGGATTCAAGTTTGTTCAAATGAAGGGCCACGCTCTCCTCGAAGGGGAGATAATTATGAATTAGTGAAAAAATTAATGGCATTTTTAAAAATCTTCTTCTCAAGAACCACTGGGCCAAGAAAGATGAAACTCGTGTGGAAGCATCCTCAGGTAATGTAAATTCAAGTTTGTTCAAATCATGACCCCCGGGGGTAGGGTGGGGCCACAATGGCCGATCAAAATTTTACATAGGAGTATATAGGGAAAATCTTTAAAAAATCTTCTTCTCAAGAACAGCAAAGCAAATATTGGTTATAGTTATATGGAAGCATCCTCAGGTAGTGAGTGATTCTGTATTATTAAATGCAGAATTAATCTTGTCAGTTTGTGGCCGTCAGGAATAAAATCATTAGAGCAGCTGCCTTTATTTTTATTTTTTCGATCGGGCGCGGTATACCAATATCTGATCACGAGGCGTCAGCCATTTTTTATGTAGAGGAAGAAAGTTGCGGATCATCTGAGACAAAAATATTGATATTTGCCTATTGTTGGTGTCATTATATAAGGTTTGAAAAGTGTAGAATTTATCTGAATAATTATAACCTTGAGTTTATTTATTCGTACAGCATTTATTTTATGATTACTGCAGAGTGTTTCGTCGCAGCGATTATACTGCGCAGTTTATAATGTCGCTCGGAAAAAACAGGTTACTGCAGGGACCTATATACTAGTATATAGGTCCCTGGTTACTGCTACGTTTTACTAGTGCTGAAGGATGATTAAAAAATATTATCTATTTATTTAATATACTTAGTAGAAGAAACTTTTTAGTTTGTGCTCAACTTTACAAAACGTAAATAAGTGCAAATCCTGTTAATAAAGGACACGGATAACATTATTACTATTAGTAAAAGTAGGCTAGTAGTACAACTTTATAAAATTTTGCAGAAAGAAACAAACATATATGCATGTGATTTTGTGTCGATCGTGGAAAAGAATATCACTACAGGCTCCTGGCTTTTTGCAGAAATAAAGTATAGCATAAAGACATTAGAGATACATACATGTTGTTAATTGTTGTTTTATGTATTTTTTATAATCAAGAGTCAAATCAACAACAAACATCAAACTATTTAATACCATAAATAGCAAACTTAAGTAATAAACATTTTTTTGAAAAATAAAATTGAAGAGTTCAAACTTTCTGATTGGTTAACTTTAAACAATAAATTAGCATACTTTACAGTGATATTTCAGCTAGTTTGCCCTCAGGTGATAAGTGAAGTCAAGATCACCAAAGGGCTATTGACGATGTGGCCGAAGAATAATTACACTTTTAAAACGAAATAAATATGTAATTTTAAAAAAATATGTTTTTTTAGTTTGATATTTATGGTTTTAAATATTTTTACGCTTGTTAAAACGTGAAGTTTGATTTAGAACAATTGAAGTCTATTGTATGTCACTGATATTAATACCAGTCAGATATTACACAGTTCGAGACTACTACCTTATATGGAAGGCAATTTTCAACACGTGACGATGTCTTCGTCACGCCCGTTCTCCAATCAAGTGAAAGATTCCCAAAGCATAACAGTCTACCACGTGTTTATGATTAAATGGCTACACGTGGTTTTCATCGGTTTACTGCACAAAATTTAACTCGTAACCGGAAAAATTGTAGAGCTTCTTAAAAACTTTATTAGACCGAAATTGAAAGATAATACTAGTATTCTGAAGACACTGCTCCATGCTCACATTTAATATTGGAGTTGTTTTAGATGATTAACAGTTGCTTCGAATATCGTACAAACTCTTTGACTTTTGCATATACATAAAACACTTTCTGATAATATTGAGGGGTCAAATAATAATTGCACACTTTCTCCTGCTGTCTAAAAACAAGGACCTATATACTACCTGCGAAAGCTACTGTGTGAAAAAAAACTCAATGTTTTATCGACACGATAGCACTTATACGTCTCTTTGAACAATGGTATACTAGGCTGATGTATTATAAGTTGATATAAGGCTTCATAAAGCAAATTTTGTAAATGTGAGCTTAAAAATGAAAGATTATACATCATTTTAAATATTTCTTTCAAAAATTTAAAAAAAGAATTGAAAATAAGTTTCCAAGGGACAATTCAAGTTGCCTTTAATTTTCAACACAGCTAGGTACTTGTAGTAGCCCACAATGCATTGCGGCTCATTCAGCAGTAGGTAAAGTAAACATATTAGCTAATTTACATGCAAATTTATTCTGATGTCAGAAAATCTAGTGGTCTCGACATGTTACATGTATATAGGAGTACCTCTTTCTAACTCCATAATGAGTCTGGGAGTGGATTTTTTAACTGTATGTACTACAAAACGAGTTTTTTTGCATTGCATGTGATCTGTAATTTGTTGTTTGCCATCGCAACTCAATAAGCAACCAATCAAATGACTCGCACATATTTACTCGCTGAAAAATTGTATGTTATTAAATCTATGTTGGTCATTTGATTGGCTGCTTAGCGAGTCGCTATGGCAAACAACAAATTACAATTCACATTACGTACGTATGTTCGACAATGCCAAAAACTTGTTCTGTACTTCACACAGCTACATTTGTGACTGATTTATTAC